ATTCCAGGCATTTTTGGTTGCTCGTGTTAGACAGACTTCTTCGAGGGACTATTGCTACCATTTCACATATTTCAACAGAACCTTTCAAGAAGGAGTAAGTCTGGAAGAAAAAGAATACAGTACTTTCTTCATGTATCAGCATGACCATTGCTGATGAAGGCACCCCAGCTGAGACAAATCACAGAGCACACACCTGAGCAGGCACCAGCTCCTGATATTTGCTCCACGAACACAGCACTGCCAGGAGCAGACTGGACCAATCCATTGTGATCAGAGGATCAGGGCTATAGAAAGACAAGGCAAATACAATAATAAAGACTTGGAGCTGTCACTCAAGTTCCTAAAAAGAAAACTAGATGTGCCTGCAATTTTTGCAAATTATACTTTAATTTAGGTTTTGATACCTGTTCTGTTTTTTTCACTAAAGTTGTAGATGCTCTGGCAAACCCTATTCAATCATACCCTGGTGATGAAATTACTTCAAACTGGAGTCTGTGCATAAGAAAAGATCTACTAGAGACTGAAACAGTAACTGCAGGAAAACCCTTTCAGATCAGGGTGAGCACTGAGAAAGCCAGACCCAGGTGTCTCAGGTGCAGACACAGCTCTACAGATCCCCTTCCCTTCAGCTGTACCTGTGCAGTGCTGCACAGACAACACTGCAAGGATAGGAACAGGCAACACTGCGGGGCCAGACACAGACAATAATAATAATTGCTTACACTTATATAGCGCTTTTCTGGACACTCCACTCAAAGCGCTTTACAGGTAATGGGGATCCCCTCCACCACCACCAATGTGCAGCCCCACCTGGATGATGCACCAGTCCTCTCCCCACACACCAGCTCTCAGTGGGGAGGAGAGCATCTATTCATAGATGGGGATTATTAGGAGGCCATGATTGGTAAGGGCCAATGGGAAATTTGGCCAGGACGCCGGGGTTACACCCCTACTCTTTTCAAGAAACACCCTGGGATTTTTAATGACCACTGAGGGTCAGGACCTCGGTTTTACGTCTCATCCGAAGGACGGCGCCTGTTTACAGTATAATGTCCCCATCCCTATACTGGGGCATTAGGACCCCCATGGACCACAGGGTGAGCGCCCCCTGCTGGCCCCACTAACACCTCTTCCAGCAGCAACCTTTTTTTTCCCAGGAGGTCTCCCATCCAGGTTCTGTCCAGGCTCACACCTGCTGAGCTTCAGTGGGCTGCCAGTTGAGAGTTGAAGGGTGATCTGGCTGCTGGCTTAAGACAACACTGCAAGGATAGGAACAGACAACACTGCAGGGCCAGACACAGACAATACAGCAAGGATAGGAACAGACAACACTGCAGGGCCAGACACAGACAACACTGCAGGACCAGACACAGACAATACAGCACGGTGCCAGTCCATGGCTGTTCTAGCTCTCCTTTTGAGTCACTTTGCTCTTCTTGTCCCAGCAGCCCCCCCGCCACGGGGATTACTGGTGGAGCAGAGAGCAGAAAAGGAAATGACTTCATCCCAGAGGGGGGGCTCCTGAGGCAGGGGCTGCCCCACCCTGTGATTCCTGCTCATCCCAGTAAGAAGGACCACGTGACCAGTCCCTGGACAGTCTGCTGTTCCACACTGCATCGCCAGCAGCACAGCTATCAGGCTGATGAGCACCAGAGAGCAATAGATTCTACAGCCCCACATCTGCAGTGAGCAGATCAGATCACTTTATTAGCCCTATACAATTTCTTGCATTAGGAATTTGTCTTTTCACACACCCCAGCTAGCTCTCCATGAGACACACAAACAGGGAGAGAGAAGCTTGGGGTCAGAGCACAGGGTCAGCCATTATACAGCACCCCTAGAGCAGCTGGGGTTAAGGGCCTTGCTCAGGGGCCCCACACAGTAGGATTCCTCTGCCAGCCACAGGATTTGAACCAGCAACCTTCCAGCCATAGGTGTAGCCACAGAGCCAGCGCTCCGCCCGTTGTGATGGTACAGTGTGGCGGCTGCTGTGATGTGCAAGCAGTGCGTACAGTTATACAGTCATACAGTGATACTTAGCCAGTAACAGGCTGTGATTTTCCCAAGCTGTGACACACAGAAAAGACCATATTCAATTATTCATCAAGTTGTTGTCTTTGTAATAATGAAGACTCAAATCCATTATCCCTTTATAAATGATCTCACGGCCTTGTAGTCTCTAAGTACACATGTAGAAAGTGGCGCCTGGTCTGCCCTGTGCCTCGTTCGACTTCTTATTGTTTTTTTTACACAACAAAAATGGAATTTTCTTCACGCAAGTGATGACGTCCCCAGCGCCAGTGGGGTCCTCTTTCCGTAGCTCGAGAGTGCCACCTGGTGGTACTGTGTCTGCATTACACGTGTTGTCATTTGGCTTTTGAGGTCGTGTTGTTGTTTCCTTTGTTCCCAAGTCCTTATTTCGCGTGATTACGCAGTTGGCTCAAAATTAATGTTGTCGATTTTTCCCAACAAAACACAGCAATTGAATGCAGTTCATCTGTTAGTTGTGTAGTTCAACACTTAAATGTATCAGAAATCATCCGTCTTTTCCTATCTTGTTGGCTACATTACTCTGCTCTCCTCCCCACTGATAGCTGGTGTGTGGGGAGCGTTCTGGCGCACTATGGCTGCCGTCGCATCATCCAGGTGGGGGCTGGGGACTGGAGGGGAGTCCCCATTACCTGTAAAGCGCTTTGAGTGGACTGTCCAGAAAAGAGCTATATAAGTGTAAACAATTATTATTATTATTATTATTATTATTATTATTATTATTATTATTATTATTATTATTATTATTATTGTTGTTGTTATTTTACAATGAAGGTGCTTGAATACAATGAGTTCACCTCCAGTGTGGAGTAGAGTATTTCACAATATATGATTCTGTACAGCCCATACCCTTGGACGGAGTTTGGACCTCACACAATGCTTGTATTTAGGGGTGCAATCTAATTACTGGGGTTTAACGAGACGCACAGAAGCCTGGGGGAATTTTATGTATTTTGTGTTCATGCTGCTCGTAAGAACAGGCATTAACCCCAGCTGGTCCAGGGGCGCCTTATAAATCCCCGACCCTGCGCTCTGACCCCCAGCTTCTCTCTCCCTGTCTGTGTGTCTCATGGAGAGCAAGCTGGGGTATGAGAAAAGACAAATTCCTAATGCAAGAAATTGTATATGGCCAATTAAGTGATCTTATCTTATCTTTCATCTGACTACCTCTAAATCAGGAACAGGTAATAGCTTTATTCCATGCTGAAAAGAGAAGAAAAAAAACAACGTTTCGGCTGTGGAGCCTTCTTTAAGCCTTCTTTGGCTTACACCCAAAGAAGGCTCCACAGCCAAAATGTTGTGTTTTTTTTTCTTCTCTTTTCAGCATGGAATAAACCTTTTACTTTTTCCTTTGCAACCTACGCATGCTGACGCAGTTACCCACCTGAACTCCCTCTAAATCATACGTGTTCTGCAGTGATGTAAGATTCGATCCCTGTTCTACTCCATTAAAGGACTCATTACGTAATACAGCAGGTGATCACATACAGGTACTTTCTTTGTTCTGTACAATGTCTCGATTTTTCTTGTTATTGTTACTGCAGGCTCTAAAGTGCTCATCGCCCAGTCTTAATCCTTCCAGCGGCGCAAAATGACAGAATATAATGAACACAGCTTGTTGTAGTTTGCTGTTGCAGTATTTCTGAAGGCCCTTCGTCCAGTTAAATTAGTTCAGAGCCCATCTGGAATGGGACCAAGAGGACACTGTGACCTGGATCAGTGTGGAAACATATCTTAAAGAAGCTGATCGCGGACGATGTGGAAGGCGATTACGCCTGTCCCGTGGAATTGTTAATTATTAGTCTGATCTGTGATTGCTCCTGCAGTACAACTAAGGCAGCGGGGCTTGTTCAGATTAAACTGTCTACAAACGGAGCCACAATTTGTTAAAGTGTGTGGTAAGTGGTGGACTCTTTCCTCATCCCAGTCCCCAGGAATTGATTTATCTTGAGAGGGACGAGAGACGAGAAACTCTCCCAGTAAGACTGTAACTGAGACCCCACAGCTGTAGCAGCGTAGATCGCGGTGGGATCGGACGGATTTTTCTCGTGCGTCAGACATGAGTCACCTTGTACAGCTCTCAGACGAACTCCAACCAAAATTAGACACACAGCAGCTACAAGTGTGGAAAAGTTCACGCAGAACACAAACGGGCATTATAAATCTCCTCCGGTTTAGTATTTAAGATTCAACTGTGTGACTGTCGAGTAATGGATATTATGGCTACAATCTTAATACAAGTACCCATATTTTACAAGCGTTTTAAAAGTGTTCAAGTGTACCTGTATTGAATTTAAATTAATTCTGCGTTATTTCCTGTAATACTGGGAATTTATCCCAATTTTATAATGAAACGCTTTGTGTATTTCAGTTGCTGCACTACAACATCTCTATAGAGATTGCACTCCTGTTGTTATTAATCTACTGTTTGTCACTACAATGACACATCAAGAACAGAATCTCGCTCTGCGGGCAACTTCTCCGTTTCTAAGCATTAATCACGACTGGGACAGGGTTGCAGGCTGTACCGAGGCTGGATGACTGGAATCTTCTCCCCTCCTAGGATTAAACTGTGACTCAGAGATAACGGCAGAGGTAACGACACTCCGCTTTCTAAGGAGAGAAGGCAACACTTTCTTGTTGGATTGGGGGAGTGATGTAGAACTTCAGTCATTAAAACTAAAATTCAAAACGGGGTCTTTTTTCTGGAAAATTGGACGAACTTCAAACATGAAAAAATATAAATAATTATGATAGCTGAAAATGTTTAGTAGGGTAAAAGAAAGAGTTCAAAGAAAGGGTCAAAGGGTTTTTCTGTTTCATGTTTTGTTTAGCGAGTGGGATGAATGAGTCGAGCGAGTCTTGACCTCATCATCATGGTCGGGCGTGTCCTCCGCGTCCGTTGTTCCCGTGACTAACCGCTGACCTCATATCCGGTGAGTAAGGTCAATTTTTATCCCAGATCCGCCATTTCAGTTTTTTTTTTCCTGGAGTTTCTTGGGAGAACTTCTGAGATTTGAATCGGAAAACTTTGGGGTAAATCTTTGGCGAGACTGGCCGAATTGCCCGTTTTTGTGTCGGCGGAGGATCTGGCCCTTCGGATCTGGTGTTTTTTTCCGGGCAGCGCGGCGCGGATGTCGTGCATTTTCTGAAGCGGATTCGCCTCAAGTTAAAGTTTTTTGTATGAGTTGGCTCCTGCTTGCGGACAAGGAGAGGTGAAGGGTAGGCCCCGAGATAGCCGCGGTGTAGTAGTGGCAGCCATGGCCGGGAATTTTGACTCCGAGGACCGGGTGAGCTGGTACTGGGGGAGGCTGAGCCGGCAGGAGGCGGTGTCCCTGCTGCAGGGGCAGAGGCACGGCGTGTTCCTGGTGAGGGACTCGATCACCAGCCCTGGGGACTACGTGCTGTCCGTCTCGGAGAATTCAAAAGTCTCCCACTATATCATCAACAGCATCAGCTGCAACAACAGACAGTCGGGCACAGGTAAGCGGGCAGGGCAGGGGGCTCGGTCCCGGTGCCCCTCTCGGGCGGGGGCGGGGGCTGGCCGCAGGTGGAGCCGGGGTGAGGATGCGCGATTCCCGCGGGTCCCGGTGACCGTGTGAGGAGATGCTCTCCAGTCCCGGAGTCGCGTTAGAGGCGTCTTGGGTGCCTTATGGACATGAAGATGAAACCGTGTACTGACGCGAGGCCTTGTTTCTACCCCCTACACGCGTTGTACCCCCGGCGTGACAGGAGCCCGGTGGGGCACCGGGGAGCTGGGCGTGAAACCCCGCACATGGCGCCCGGGCTCAGCGGCGTCACCGTCCGCGGGGCGCGGGAGGAGGGAACCTCGAGCGTCGATTCCTCTAAAGCCCTCTTCTTTGGGGAGACCCCCCAGGGCCGCTCACCTTGGGGAGCCCCCGAAGGTCGAGGGTCCTGTGCGCTGGCGTCGCGCCCTGCGGAATCGCACCCGTCGCGTTAAGGGTTGCACCCGGATCGGACTGGTCGTGTGTGCGCTGACTCGTATTGACAAGTCTCAGCATAACCGTTTTCTCTTCATCCCCGTTGAAGGACCTGAACTTGGCTTCACCGGGTCTCCCAGAATACCGGCGTCTTAGTACGCCGCTGCTTAATGTTTGTTGATCTGGAGGGTTACTGCATTGCCGTCGTTTCACATCAAACACTTTATGCTGATGGGTGCGTCTGGATGGGAAAGCGAAACCTGGTAACAGAAGTCGTTCAGTTTTGTGAAGAGACGTATCCAAACTTGTGTTTGCAGTGAGATCCTCCTGAAGTTAAGGTGAGCCAAGGCTGAGCCCGTGTTTGGTGGCGCTTGACTTTGTAAGGTGGTATGTTGATGGGTGCTGGTGGAGCAGAAGTCCGACTAGCGAAGACATTGTCTCTGGTTTCTGCCCTGAGCTGCTGGCTGGGTCCCTGTGGGGTCAGTGGGAAGTCTTGAGCGCTGCAGCCCGGCTGCACATGGGCTCCTTCACAGTGAGCCTGGCTGAAACTGCCTGACATGGGGCAGAGAGGAGCTGATGTTCTCATGGGGCAAAAGTGAAGCTGTTTTTTCCAGCATTGCAGAAATATCTCTTTTTAAAAACTGGTGCTTTCGCAGCGGTGTTAATGTGGCTCGCGCAATGCAGGAGAATCGGGCTTAATGACCCAGGAAGGACGAGTGCAGTTTGCAAACAGCGGAGTGATCGTTCGTCCGATGCCAGCAGAACCAGCCCCAGGCTCAGTTGCTCGGTCCTGCCCAGCGATGTGCCCGGGCAGAGTCCCGAGTGCGGAAGGTGGGCTCTCGCTGGCTGGGATCAGGAGAGCTGATTGTGCCTGGGCTGGAGCGCCCTGTCTCTCCAGGGCCTGCTTTGTGTGTTTGCCTTCGGATGAATCATTTAACCGGGGAGTTTCTCAATCCGGGAGGCGGAGTGGGCTGGGAGTGGGAACGGGGTGGAGGTGTGTGCCAGGAGAGAGGGGCCGCGATGGCGGCTTGTGGGGGCTGCCAGCGCGCCCGGGTGGCGGACCGCTCCCCGCCCGGCTGAGCCACGCCTCCTCCGGGCCCGATGAGCGGACGCACACGAGCCCTGCGGGCCCCCCGCGTTGCCCGGGGATCAGCGAGCGCGGGCGCTGTATCCTGCGGGTCTCTGCCAGTGCTGGGGTGCAGCGACGCTGGGCGTTGGGGCTGTTTTACGGGAGCAAGCTGTCATCGGGATTCGGCAGGGGGCGATGCTTGTCCCAGCACTCCCAACAGGACGTGTGCATGCAAGCCATGCCCTTTTTTTACTGGTGAAACTGATCCTTGATCAGAGATTTTGGCATTTTCTTCAGCTGTAGTGCTGCTTGGCGCTGCAGGTCTGGCACCAGTGACTGTCCAGCCTGTGCTGCCTCTGGGAGGCTGGCCAGCGAGTCAGTGAAGTGGAAGAGCTGCCTGACTCTTAACTGCCGACTTACAGCAATGAAGAAAAGCCCAGCAGTCTCTGTCATCCCCCTCAGTTCTTTATAGACGGCTTTTCCTCCCCATTGAGGAACTGCAGACGCCTGATATCTGATGGTGGCTGTCGGCTCGTCCCTGTGCGCTCACCCTGCTGACAGCGCGCTGGTTGTGTAGGGAAAACGGCTAAAGAACTCTTTGATCATCTAGAATTGTCTCGTCTGAGCCCGCGCCGTGTCCTGTTGGATGGGGGATCGGAGAAGTTAGCAGTGTGAGGCCTGCGCTGTTATCCGGGCTGGCTCAGGACTCAGCCCTGCGAGTGTATGGATTAAAGTGCCTGGGTGTAAGCCGGCCTCGCTGGGTATCCCAGTGGTAATGGAGGAGCAAAAATACTCCCATTGTCTTTGCTTGACCGCGTGTCTTATTTCGCACAGGGAGTCCCCTCGTTTGGCTCTCGGGGGCTCAGGGCGTCAGTGGTCTCTCGGCAGGCTGTGTGTTCCTGACAGAGTGGCGTTCCTGCTGCCTCGTTCTCTGGTGATTCATCGCTTCCATTTAAATCCCGGATTTCCTCCCCTCCTTGGCATGGCAGCGGGTTCCACCTTTGCAGCTCTGGCGTGTGGCACATCCCTCCCTCCTCCTCTCTGCGATCCCGCTCATTCCCAGCTCCAGGGGCCTGGAGCCGACATTCCTTACCGCGCGGCCCTTTTTGCGGTCCCAAAGTGCTGCGTTCTCCCTGGAGAGGGGTTTGTGGATTTCTGTGCTCCGCGGGCAGAGTTTGCTGTTTTTGTGTTTGAGATGCTCGAGTGGTTTCGGGATGTCAGGATGTATGGGTGGCCCATCGCTGCGTTCCGATATAAGCAGAGCTTGGTCATGCCGGCGTTCTCAAGGTAACGCTCTGGGTTCAACGCTCAAAGTCACTCAGTTTGCTCATGTAACAAAGCAAAATTGGTGTTTAATCTGTTTCGGGTGGTTCTTGCGTGGTTGCTGGAGTGATGACTTGCGTGTGCATTGGAGTTGATTTTATTTAATCAGGTCAGGTTCTCCTGCTGCAGTTTCTGTGGCGTTTTCGTTGTTTAGCTACACAGACAGGCCGGAGGTCGTGTTCGTAGCCTCAAATATCAATATCAAACGTCAGCCTCTCATCGTGAAGTGCCTTCAGTGGTTTTGATGGTACTGAAATATTAATTCCTATTATTTAATGATTTTTTCTATCACTGTAACCTTACTGACTGGCCTACCAGTTTGGAACTAAATAGGCTTCACTGCATTCTCAATTCTATGCCTTGCGTGCCAACCAAATATCTCTGCATCTGCTCGTTAACCCCTGTCCTGCGTGCACTGCACTGGCTCCCGGTCAAATTCGGACGGGACAGGTTCTCCTGCTCATGAATGGCCTAGCGCCAGGTGGTCCTGTGGTCTTATTGCTGGAGTACAGTCCAGCTCTGAGTTTGGGATCTGCTGACTGTGGCTTCCTTGCTTTGCACAGTCTGCAACAGAGCTTCCTGTTTGCAGCCCCATATCTGTGAGCTCCAGGTCCAGGTTTTTTTTTTCTCCGCTGTTATAGTACTCTTTCCTGAAATGTGCTGATCAATACCTTTGTAGCGTTATTATAATTCCCCCTGCCTGAAAACAGGCGCCAGCTCGTGACTTGCTCTTGTACCTGGGGCAGGTGTTGCTCTTCAGCCCAGCCGTCTGCGGTGGTGGTCTCGGCTGCGTCGCAGGCCTGGCTGAGCCGATCGCCAGCTGGCTGCTCCAGATCGGCGGGGTATGAAACCCAGCAGAATTGGCAAGTTGAAATCGAGAGGGGACACGAGCTTGAAGGACAGCTCGAGAATGTTCTGGTGGTATTTGCTGACCCGAATGAGATCAGTCTCCCAGAGCTGAAGTGTCTTGAGGGATGGATCTTAAAAATGAGCTGCTGTCGGGGAGACACGAGCACAACTGATCTGCTGTGTAATGTGCGGTTTAGTGCAAACCAAGAGCACCCTGCTCCTTAGTCATGTAAGTGAGCGAAATAAAGACAAACTCAGGAGCTAGCGATGTGACATGCAGAGCAGCGAAAACATGCTAAATGTTCAGTAGTCTAGATCTAGTGTATTTCGGCACAGAAAAGCTTCCTGCTCATCTTACTAAAGACCCGTGTAAGTTGCTCTGTGTCGAGGCACTAGGGCGGTGTGTCTCTAGTGCTGTCCGGCCAGTGCCTGGTCAGCCTGTTCTGAATGACGCAGCATGGAGTGGCTCTGATCCGTGTGTTTTCCCCCCCTCTGTCTTGCCTTCCAGGATTAAATCCACCGCGTTTCCGCATCGGAGACCAGGAGTTCGACGCCCTCCCGGCTCTCCTAGAGTTCTACAAAATCCACTACCTGGACACCACCACCTTGATAGAGCCCATTTCCAAGGCCAAGCACTCTAACTTTGTGGGCCGGGCGGCCGGGGCGCCCGTGATCGGCCAGCGGCAGGAGGAGGCGGAGTACGTGCGCGCCCTCTTCGACTTCCCGGGAAACGACGACGAGGACCTGCCCTTCCGCAAGGGCGATGTGCTGCGCATCCTGGAGAAGCCGGAGGAGCAGTGGTGGAACGCCCAGAACTCGGAGGGCAAGGCCGGGATGATCCCTGTGCCCTACGTGGAGAAATACCGGCCCTCGTCCCCGACTAGCGGAGGTAACCAGGAGTGTCCCAACGCCCCTCCGGCCCTGCTGGGAGGCCAGGAGCCCGGGCAATATGCCCAGCCCAGTGTCAACACTCCGCTGCCCAACCTCCAGAACGGGCCCGTTTATGCCAGGGCTATCCAGAAGAGGGTGCCCAATGCCTACGACAAGACGGCCTTGGCTTTGGAGGTACAGAATCAAAAACGAAATTCAACCCCCCCTCCCCTCTCTCCCCCCCAAAAAATAATCGGTAAACGATCGAAGGATGGAAGGGGGGCTCCTTTCTGTCTTCTCTTGCTTCGCTCCTCTTCGGCGGGAGCTCGGGGGGCGCTGCCTCCTGTCCGCTTGCCTCTGCTCCTGCCCTTCCTGGGGCTCCCCGCGCCGTCGCTCTGGGGCCTGGGGTTCTGTCTGACGGCTGAAGCGTCTGGCCTGGCGTTGCGATCCGGGACGACCGCCAAGTTTTGACGCGATTGAGGTCGGGGGGTGGGGTTTTCATTTTTCCAGCATGTTCACCTGAGCAAGTGTGCGCCGTTTCTTCTGCCCTCCGCAGATCCAGGCAGACGCTGAGCCCGCGGCCAGCGAGGTCTTCATACCATCACAGCAGAAGCCCTTGGTGGCAGATCTGCTCCTTAGAATCCTGCAGGGGCATAGCAGTGGGATCCGCTTCAGTCATTCCTCGCTGATGCCCAGGTGCCCAGTGTTACAGACTTGTGACCTCACCTTGAGTCGAGATAATAGTCGGACGTGCAAAGTTTAAAAACCGTGCAACGTTTAGAAAGTCCATTTCTGTTTTGTCGACATGGTTTTGCTTGAGCCCTCAGATGTGTGTGACCTGCTTTGTGGTGGAGGTCTGGTTTGTTTCTGTAAGAATCGAAAGAACTGTATAGTTCCCTGCAGTGCTCGTACTCCTCAGGGTGCAGGAAATGTCAGTCTTCTAGTTTTGGCTGACAGTGTCGCAGAAGCCCTGCGGAAAATTTGATTGTGAACCTAGACTAAGATGGGCTCCAGAAGAGCCTTACTCCAAGGCACAGTCTTATCAGTGTCGGAGCAGGGCTGTCGCTCCAGCGGTAGATGAACCTTTCAGCCTGCCTCGGCTTCGTTAGCCGGTCGCGCTGGGCATGGTCTGCGTTAGAAACTTGAATGCGAGCAAGAAAAGTGTAAATATAACTGGGTCTACCCTTGGGTATCAATATAGGATGAGAGATAAGATCACTTTATTGGCCATATACAATTTCTCGCATCGGGAATTTGTCTTTTCGCATACCCCAGCTTGCTCTCCATGAGACACACAGACAGGGAGAGAAGCTGGGGGTCAGAGCGCAGGGTCAGCCATTTATACAGCACCCCTGGAGCAGCTGGGGTGAAGGGCCTTGCTCAGGGGCCCAGCAGAGTAGGATACATCTGCCGGCCGCGGGATTTGAACCGGCAACCTTCCAGCCACAGGCGCAGATCCTTACCTAACCCTAACAGTATCACAAAGTCCACTTGATCATCACAGCACGGTCCGCTTCCACAGGCCCGCGGCACAGCAGAGTAGCGTCACGGGGCTTGGAGCCAAGGTTAGCTGAGGAGGAGTCCGGTGTAGCCGTGACCTGGAAGGGGTGACAGTGGAGAACACAGGGCAGGATGTGATTCCCTTTGCTCCAGTTGAAGCTGCTGTGAAAAGGTTTAGCCTGTTTTCTTCAGTTGGTTTTGTCGAGTTTAGCTGTTGAGTGGCTTTTTTTGTCCTAAAGCTGTTGGTTTCCACAGGGGAGTGAAACAGTGGGAGGTGGATTGGCTTGTCTGTGGCTCCACTTGGAAGCACCTGTACCTCGTGGAGGGGAGTAGAGGGTGTGACAGTGGTGGCAGCTGACCGCTTCAGGTATCTAGAGAGTGCGTAGATCTTGGTGTGGTTCCTTTGTGCAGGTTATGGATCCAGGGCCCTTGGCCAGCTGTCCTCAGAAGGACAGCCCGGCCAGCCGGGTTCAGACGCTCTCTCCTCTCTGTGTGTGGACGTGCCTCCTGCTTTCAGTCCTTGTGTGCTGGAGCGTGGGGGGACACCCAGGTGTTTCTGCGCTGCCAAGGAAACTCCTCCTGCCTGCAGACTTCCGGGGCGGAGCGCTGTGGCCTGGGGGACTTCCGCAGGTGTGGATGAGTCCTGGCTGGGAGAGGACCGGGGGCTCAGCGGAGAGGATCTCCCGGGACCGGTGGGGTCCTGTGCCTCCAGTTCAGAGAAGGAACCGAAGGCCATGAAAGAACCCGCACTGTGCGACCGCATTCTTGAGATACTGCAGTCAGGTTTAAACCCGAGTTTTCCAGCACAGCAGGGCCTTCCTGGCAGAGTCGCTGGCTGTGCTGTTTCTTCCTTCGTCTTCGTCCAGGGCCTTTTCAGAACGAGCCTGTTGAGCTGCCCTGTGCTGCAGCAGTCACTGTAAAGCCTGTTGATTCACTAGAGCTGTTCTGCGGGATGGATTCTCAGTCCTGTATACACGAGGCGTCGGGAAGGGTCCGAAATCTCTGGAGGTTCGGGTTCCCCAGAGGCCTGCGCCCACCCGCCCAACAGAGCCGGCTGATTCGCCTCGGCCCCCAGCAGGGAGGTGGCATGGCCTTCACAGCCATGAGCCTCAGCTGCGGGGGGGGGGCGGGGGGCGGGCTGTCTGCCTGTGCAACCTGACTCGCGGCGAGTCACCCTCGGAGGTGGGGGTGCCATAGCCTCTTTGTGCGCCGGCACGCTCCGGCCCTGTTCCCAGCAGCCCCGCGGCAGCACGTGGTGCGTTACTCACCTCCCCGTTGGCGTGAGTCACCTTCTGCTGCAGCGTCAAGCGGGCGTCCGAGCCGTGCCAGTGGCGGAACCTTAATGCCCATGCGGAGCGTGCAGCCCCCGGCTCGCTCGGCTCGGAGGGCAAGAGTGCTCTGAGGGGCGTGGGGGAGTCTCTGCCTCTCGGCGCTCTGAAATTTGGGGGAGCTGGCAGGAGGCAGTGACAGAGTGGGGGCGGGCTCTTCACGAAGAGAGGCCAAGTTCAACAGGAAATGCTTTCTGTTGGAGTGCATTTCCTGACAAGAAGCTGGTCGGTGATCTGTTGCTCCCGGCCTGGAGCAGCTCGGCGGCCCTGGCCACAGGCCAGCCGCGGAGTGGGCTGTGTTTGCCGGTTCGTTCAGTCCAGCTGGAGTTCTGCAGGCGCTGTCAAAGCCGCGCGTCTCTCAATTAAGACTCCGTTACTTAGCGCGTGGCTGGGCAGGATTTTCTTTATGGTGAAAAGGTGGACCTTTGATCCGTAGAAGAGAGAGGCCCTTTGCGCGGTATTTTCGTCAGCAGAACCCCCGGCGCCTCCTTGTATAAACAGCAGACAGTCATTCTGGTGGCTGCAGTTCATGAAATCTGTCGCTGCTCTTCAGCAGGACTGAATTAAGGACCTTCGGAGGAAAGCTAGCAGACTAGAAGATACCACTGGTTTTTAGTAGCTAATTGATCTTGAGGATCTTTTCTAGGCAGCGTATTCACTTTGACAGCTTAGTGGGAGAGTCCTGATTGTTCCTTGCTCCCTCCTTATCATTTGTGTAAAGAAGTGCCTCCTGTTCATAGGATCACAAGGTTTGCAACTGAAAGGAGGACATGTGGGCTCTGTGAACAGGATCAGGATTCTCATGGCCAGAGAGGACAGGAGGGGCACATCGTCTGTGTGCTCTCAAAGCAGTAGCTTCCCCTGTAGCCCCCTCTCTCTGTCCCATTAGCAGCTGCGCTGACAGCTGGCGTGCTATTGATCAGGTCTCTGTGTGGCTTGTCCCCTCTGGTACAGCTACAGAACAGAGGTCTGTTCACCCAGGCTGTACAGCGTGACACTGTCTGAGCAATTAAACGCTAATCAGCTTGAATGTGCTGGTTGCTGCACGGCTGGGTTATTTGTGGGCTGCAGTGGGTTTAAGGAGCGATGTGAAATGACAGTAATAACTGAGTACGTACTGTGCGTCTTGTGTGATGATGATTCTCGGCTTTCACAGAGCTTCCCGAGTTCCGTCTTGGAGATCAGGTGTTTGCATCAAACGGAGGTGCTCGTCTGAATTGGGCTAGGGAGGCACAGAATTAAATGGAATAATGTGGTGCACCGCCCCTTGCACAGTCATGGCCGAGAGGGCTTTTGAGGCCTGCGGAGATGCAGGATCTGAAAGGTTAACCTTGGAATTTCAAAGGGCTGAGACTGCAGGACGTAGGTGTTAATAGAGGGCGTCTATCCCCGGCGCCGCTGTGCAGACAGCTGCAGGACGTGCTGAGAGGCTCCATTCTCCCGTCTGCAGCTGGGAGAGCATCACCGCACAGCTGCTCGCGCCTGCTGCGGGCAGCTTTGTCCCGCCCCGCCGCCCGCTGGGCTCGGAGGGTACCAGAGACGTCAACTCCTGACCTACGCAGGGACAGGGCATTACAGTGGGGACTGGAACTGCAGGTTCTGAGCTGCCAAGTTGACAACTCATTTACCCTTAAGTACTCCTTCGTTAAATCCACTTCCTGTCCCGTCGGCTCTAGCGGGCCGCGTGGGAAACGATGGGGTCGCAGGCAGGAAGGAGCATGCGGCCCAGCTCAACCTTCATGCCTTCAGAGCTGTCCTTCCGCAGGCCCGTCTGGAGGATGTCTTCCCCTGCCGCGCACGTGCTGGGGGAGCGCGCTCGGCGATCCACGGTTTTCGCGGTATCTTGCTGAGCAGGCAGGAGCAGCTGCTGAAGGCCTCATGTAGGTGCAGGCCTGTCCACAGAGCGGTCTGGCGTCTGAACAGCTGAACTGCTGAAAGATGTTCTATCTTGGCATAAAGTGGAACGAGCCAGAAACTGAAGTGTCGATTGCTGATCTAAGACATGTAGTCTGAGTTCTCTGGCTAATGCCTTTATCCAAAGTACCTTAATCCGAAGTGATGCGGTTTTGTACCTGTTTGTCCAGCTGGGTATTCTCCTGGAGCAGCCTGAGTGAAGTACTTTGCTCAAGGGTACAACCGCAGTGCCTCACCTGGGATGTAAACCCCTCAGCCTGCCAGATCCGAGCTCTGCTCCACACTGCTTGCACACAGGATTCTCATGGCCACCCGCTGTCAGGGAGGGTGTTGGCTGGCCTGCGCCCCGTTGGCGCGGCTCCCCGTGTCCCAGGGAGGAGCTCCGTGGGGGTGGCGCCACGCCCACTCTGGCTGACAGGCTGCAGAGAGGGACACCAATCAAATGCAAGATCGTCAGCTTCTTGTGTTTTTTCTGGTCTCTTTTTTTCTGGTTTCTGGTCACAGCCTCCCCATTTTCCTGTGCCGAAAGGTGAGCGCAGAGCATGAGGTTCATCAGTGAGGAAGACAGTGTAGCTCAGGCAGGCTGTGAAATGGGGACAATCGTGACTTTTTCATCTGTGAGGGTAATAAGACTGAAGTGCTCTCTGATGAGTCTACCAATTGTATTGAGGTTTAACACCACTAAGAGTTCATTCACTGTGTGATGCTGTCTTATTTGTGGGCAGATAGATGATTGATTTCTAGTTCTCTAATAAGGACCACTGCCTCACTGGGTCTAATGGTGTGTCTTTGAGTTACTTCGTGCAGAGATTATACCTTCTTATCTGGGCTAGATAATCAGACGCTGGGAGAGGCAGTTTTAAATGCAGGTTTCTTTCCTCTCTACGGCACACAGAGCCCAGCTCCAACATGCTGTTAGCTACAGTTATCAGTGTAGGTGTCTCTATATACCAGCCTCTGGCCCTGGCAGAAGTGGGGAGCTGGCACCCGAGCAGGTGGCCCCGAGTCAGCAGCTGTGTGAACAGGGGTTCAGTGTTTGAAAGAGGAGGGGCAGAATGAGCAGCTGTGGCGGGAGTTTCTGGGGGTGCCGCTGAAGTCGGCTCCCCCCCCCGTGTCTCACCAGGGAACTGCATGTCTGCAGTATCCCCCATTGGAGGTGCGTCAGTCTGCTGTTGGGGCCTGCAGTGTGACCCAGGGCCAGCGAGAGCTCTCTTCAGAGCGACATCTGCCCCCCCCCGCCCCCTCAGGGCAGTGTTCTGGGCTCTCGGGCCACTTTGCACAGAAAGCAAGCGGGTATTTCCAGCACAGGATACAGGGGCACCCAGGGGACACTTTGTTCTTCAGCTCACGTACAGCTGAGTGATCTGGGTAATCAGTCAGATCAGTCAGGTGTCTTAAACAGGCAGGCAGGATGGCTCAGACTGTGCTCGTGTTCCCAGGAGCTTTTTAAAGGTTCCACTTGTTTAACTGTCCTTCAGGCTTGTAGGACCTGGGACACACTGGGTTTTA